AAAAAAAAAAAAAAAAAAAAAAAAAAAGAAAAAAAACGATCCTCAACCTTAATTGTTTTCTGAAGTTCTCGCCGGTTTCGAGAACACGGTTACAAATTGTTCCGCTATCGTGCTGCAATTTATCGCAATATATATCTGGTGCCATCTTATGTTTCCAAAATGTCAGATACGCACGGAAAACTGGATTTCTGAATTTAATGAAGTAGAAATATTCAAACTATCCAAACGTTTGATATTTAAGAAGAATTGATACTTCTATTCGTGTCACGGATTTCTGTGAATGAAAAGAGAGCGCTATTTCAATTATGCGTTTCGCTGTGACGATATTAACTATTACGTTGTTGATTATTATCTATGCTACTTTTAATTTAATTTAAGATGCAGGGGCTTTCTATTAATATTAATTCAAACGACGAAATTCACGAATGTGTATATATATATAAACCACTGCAATATATCCGGAGACTTTTTTCAGCTGTGAAAAATTCACGCTGAAATTAAATATATTTTTGCATCAAATTATTTTAATGCTTACCATATATTTAGTACTGCTTATTATATGTGTATTCAAGTTCAATTGGCATAGACGGCGCATTAAATTCGGTGCTTTGTTTGAAATAAAATAAAATATTAATATCGATTGTTTTGTTTCTAGCGTTCCTCCGCAGATTGTGCGATAGAGCACAAGAAAGCTCTGAATGAAGTGGCAACGCGGCAACCATAACATCAGTATCCATTCATCGGCAAACTCCACGTCACCGAGGGACGTTCATTTTTCATCATCCTACTCATCCCCTGTTAAGGAATCTTTTGAGCGCCACATTTCTCATATTTTTGCACAGAAACGACAAGACACGATTCGAATCAACATCATGGTCGTCGAGTTTGGTTGGAAAATAAAAATGAAACGTTGAAAAACTAACATGAAATGCTGTAATCAAAGAACACGCACATCTGTTCGATTCGATGAAATGTATCGTTGAGATGTATGTACTTACAATAGGAAACGATGTATAATATACTAATATATATGTTATATTAACGATGTACGAAATCGAATGAAAAAAGCGATGTTACTTGACCTTTTATCGTTTTCCATTTAATAAACTGTACCCTCTGTAACGAGGAGTGCCAAAAGTTTCTCATTGTTGACAGTCTTCCAGGGAAATCTTAAGAAGAAGGAAAAATTTGCCGATTTGTACGTCCGTCTTATATCTTCACATGTTCGGATGATATAATTATGATGTAAATAAAATTATAAAAACACATTTTGTACAAATCCAAAACGTCTGTGTTTTTGTATAAATTATATGTATATTGTCAGATCGATTTGATCACTCGACTGCCAGAAGGATCAAATCGATCAACGAGAGGATTAGCAATTAGCGTATCATTCTGCTTAATATTGGTACAATTGCATTCTTTCTTTTTCTCAAATATATTTCTGCAGCCGTAGCCGAGAATATTCTTTCAATACAATAAATTTTGGCCACTTGTTTCTTCATTCCAGTCTAAACTACAGAATAATCATAATTTCGATTGAAAGGAAATTCGAACGAGGGAAAATTTCACTGGGAATGAGAAAACAGTAGATCTCTGGCTTGGGTATATTTTTAACTTAACACGACAAACACCATGGAAAATCGGATCGGTAATGTTTCTTTTCAACCGAATCGCGGATTGGTGAAAGGACGAGGGGTAGCGATCCATTCGCCGGAAGGGTGAATGCGCGATGCTTGAACTGCACTCGCAGTCTGCTCGTGCGACACGGCACCGAGCACCTGAGAATCGCACGGATGGCAAAAGGTTCGTAAACGCTCGGCGATTTCCGATGGCGAGGCGTGGGGCCTTCGGGTGATCCCGGAAAGCCGGCGGTCGAGCCAGTCAGTTCAAACGCGTCGCAAGTGTCGCGCGTTTCGCCTTCAACTTTGCCATCGTGTTTCCACTGGATCGGGCGATCGTCTCTTTCGGTTTTGTATTCCGAGCGATTTCCGCCGCGACGCGCGTACAACAGCGTGACGAACAGTGCGCGGAGGTCGACCAGCTTGGCGAGAACACCGCAGGATCCTTGCCTAACCCGAAACGAGAAAAAAAAGAAAACGGCCCTCGGTGTCGTCGACCGAGAAGATGACGGATGTACAAGTGAATTCGAACAGCAACGAGAACACCGCCAGCAAATTGCAGCAGAATAACGACGTCACACGGCGAACAGGTTGGTGTTTATTATGCGCGCGATCCTCCGTGCAACCTTATTTCTGCGAGGAAGCTCGAATGCCAGAGGCACGACGAAGCCCATTGGTAGAGCACCAGTTTCGCCATCTTGGTGGATATACGCTGTCAGAGAATCACACGGTTTCCTCTAAACTCTTTAACTTTGCTCGTCCCGCACGCTTTTCATTTACTGTTACTACTGCGCGAAAAGAATTCACGCGAGAGTGAAGAAACCGATGAGAATGATTTACCCCTTAAAGGCACCGTTTATTTATTTTGGCAGGGATATTTGTTTTCTACTGGCGAAGGGTGTGAGTTTATAGATTGTTTCGAGGGATTTGAAGGATAAGGGGGAGAGAGAGCTGTATCGAATACGTTGATTCCACGATTCTATTTGTTACAAAATGCTTTTAACACGATTTTATTATTGATGTACGATATATATTTAATTTACCGGATTAATCGATCGTGGTGAGGTGCTACGAATGTTCTCGGTTAATTATTGCAACGTACCCAAAAAAACATTCCAACGCGTTTCTGAAATGAAAATGTAGGTTGAGATTTCGATAAATGCAAACGCAATGATAATATAACGTATCTATTGGTGAAAAGATAATAAACACTTGTTGATAAAATTGATAATATAAATAAATAAATAAATATATATATATATATACACAGCTGTAGTTAACGTAAATACATGGATTAATAATGATTATTTTCCTTTTTGTTAAGTTTTGAGAATTTAAACAGTGTACGCAATAATACAATGAAAAAAGGTGGTAAGCTCATAGGTATCGACACTAGCAAAAATACTTTTCTTTTATCTAAATCATGTGTTTTAAGAGTAATTCGAAATTTCTAAGGTCATCTTTTCCTTCAGTCAAACAGAACTTTATGCTTCGCTGTACTGAAAAAAAAAAAAGAAGTATCGCTGTTTTTCCAATTATACCAATAAATGGCTTCTGTCGTTTCCATCAGTCGTATCTATAATAATAATCGCAGAATTAAGAGACACTCCAACATGCACATGTTCACGTTGAAGACTGTACAATGGCCTTGGTGTTCGGGGGCATTAGACTCAAAGCGATGAGAAAACCCAGCACATAATATTGAATCGTAAGACTGGGAAGTCTTTTAGATGCTGATTAACTTAATGCAGCACGTTGTCAGGCACCCGTGCATAATTAATCCTACATCTCGTACTCGATTTATGTGAATCAAGATAGTCGTGGCCTGCCATTGTTGTACGTTGTACAATGTCCGTGCGAAATCGTTACACTTTAAGAGGAAATAGAAAGCAAAGAGAAATCTATCAGTATGAACTATATTAACTCGGAATAAAATTTCGTTTTGAAATTTACAGGTGAGTTATGAAGTCGGATATCGAAATAAACCTCCTTGTTAGATACAATACAAAATAATAATAATGTACAGTGCCTATCGCACGTGTACGTACGTGCAACAATAATGAAAAATAATGAGTTTGTTATTTTAAGGATATCGAAATAAATCTCCTTGTTAGATACGATACAAAATAATAATGTACAGTGCCTATCGCACATGCAACAATAATGAAAAATAAGG